TTTTGCACTGAAATATATTTTATTTTTTTAATTCACCATTTATTTTTACGGTATTTAACCGAAAGCCACGTGCTGTTTGCTGAGATATGCATTGTTTGGGAACTGTAAAAAAAACACATTGAGCTTGTCGACCGATTATAGTTTCGCATACTTACTATGGTTTCCTACATTTTTTTTTATTACTCTGGATTATACAATCAAATCTGGCACTTTGCTGATAATATATCAGTGAAGCAGAAAGTGGCTTATAAAGGTGAACGATTAGGCTAGATTGGAAGCAGAATCAAGAATACGTTATTCAATATTACATTAAACTAAATATCAAGGATACTTGAGCATATCAATGAGCTTGAATTATCATTAGATATTGATAGAAATAAGCTGTTCCATAAAATGACAAGGAAGATAAACCTTTCCATGAATTCTATAATTTTACATCGAATTATGTCGTATTCATTTTTCAAATGACATATGTCCTTGCTTTTAAATTTTCTCTATAGGATATATAATATGCACTCTTATTAATTTTATTTCGAATTACACGATAACGCCTGCCTCCGCTCCATTTATATTCATGCAATCCGTACGGGTGTTTTTTTTAAATTGTAAATTCAATGAATTGCAAATGCATACGTAAGCATCAGGCTGACTGTGAAGAGAGAAAGACAGACAAAAGAAAAAAATACGAAATATAAAAATATACGCCTACGTATATTCAGATCGTAGCCTGCGACCGATAATTTTAGTGCTAACGCGAGAACAGTCGTTTTTCAAACGTTCAATGACAGAATGAATTTGGCCGACTTTTTAAGTGTTCAAGAACACGATCGAAACGTCGGTCACTTAAAATTCTACAAAGGACGAGAGTAAAAAAAGACACTTGGACGTAACGAGAATTCAGGATATTACAAGCACTTACAATTTTTTATTTTCAATTGTTTTTGAGCACACGAAATTTTTTGGTTCGTTAAATTTTATAAATTTTGTTTTGTTTTTCTCTTGTCTTTACAATATTCTGCATCATTCTGGTCGTATCTCTATAGAATTATTTTCATCGATATAACATCGATATAACTTATAGTGTAGTCAATCTAGACTTTGAATACATCGGTGTACATGAAGTTGAAGTTCAGGGTATGAAAGTTGCACCAATTGATTGCTAAAGGTCCCCTTATGAACATAATAATGTGTATCAGCTCAATTTTCAGGGCCAGATTAATAATTAATAAGAAACAATCTAAGATTTGCGCCTAACCGACTTTGACCCTCCATTTCTCCACTATTACTCAGCCAATCAAAAAAATGAAATTACTAATTTGTAGCGGGGAGAATTTACTATCAAATTTAGTCGGTAAACTTTGGGAGAAAATGCACGAAAAAGCGCGCCATGCGCAGCTTATTCAAACGTTCAAGCTGCGCATGGCACGCATCACGTGACTCAGGTCCAGACGCCATGGGACCGATCAGCTGGCACGTTAACGAAAAATGCTTAGAAATTACTTAAAAAAATTATAATAAATTAATCGTGCATTTTCTCCCATAGTTTTCCGACTAAATTTGACGGTAAATTTTCCCCGCTACAAATTAGTAATTTCATTTTTTTTTTGACTAAGTAATAGTGGAGAATGAAGGGTAAAAGTCGGTTAGGCGCAGATCTTAGATTGTTTTTTTATTAATTATTAATCTGGCACTGAAAATTCAGTTGATACAAATTAATATATTCATAAGGGGACCTTTAGCTATCGATTGGTGCAACTTTCATATCCTGAACTTCAACTTCAAATGCGACATCTAAATTGACTCCACTATTAGAGCTCCTATTGAATATGACTTTATAAACTTCGTAAAAGAGTTATAACAGAAATATTCTGTGACCCATTTTAATAATATCGATATTTGGAATTTCAAAGAAAAAAACTATATTGACTGATACAAATAATAAAAGAGTAAACAGTGTAAGCAAGTAAACAGTGGTCATATACAAATAAGCCATGCTTTAGCATGTTTTAGCAAGCTCACCACAGTGAGTCTAACGAAGATTATTCCAGAGCTACGAGTTGTGCTCAAAGTTTGTCAGCTAGACGAAAAACATTAAACAATCAACCAATAACTAAAATTTATACAATGGAGTAATATTTTGGCCTGGTGTATTTTCACGAAAGTGCATTAATGTTACATAAAAGTCAGCCAATGATGTGAAAACCTCAAGTTTAATCTGGATGTCTTTTAAAAAATCACTGGTTATAGTGCTGGGAAGAAATAAAGTGATCGCAGTCGTAGTCCGCTTTGTCGAATAACGCACACGCGTATATTTGCATGCATTGTATCAAGTAAGAATGCATCAAAATTTAATGGCATTTTTATGAGTGCGTATTGAAACGTAATTGTATCTACAGCTTTGTTCTAATTTGTCACAGACTTTTGTAGCATAATGAATACAAGTTGTGTTTCGTTTGAAAATTATGGAGTCTACGGAAACTCGATTTTCACCTTCAGAGCGTTTTTTATTAGACTTCTAATATGGACGCACGAGAATTTTTGAATTACACAATTTGAGCACTTCTTAATGGACCATTAAGAGCTCTTTGTGTTATCTGAAACGTATCATCATGTACACATAGGGTTCACTTGCTTTGATGATTTAAAATGTAAACTTTTCGAAAATACATTATATGCCCTCGTCTACAGAGTACATCCGATTTTGAAAAATGATAGTACTCCTTCAACTCCTGTTATATGTATATGCATTTTATGAGCACTATGTAGAAACTTTTGCGCAGATTGAAGGCTCGCAAAATTTGTAAATATTTCAAATTCTTGTGTTTACATAACGTTGTCACCTAATTTAGTACTTCACAAGTGTTTCTCTGTTTAATGTCTCTCGTCGTCCCCCTGTCATTGCTCTGTCCGATAGTGAAATATATCAAATATGGTCGTGTAAATACAATGTCATATGAAAAGCTTGTTTTCGCAAGGAAGGAAAATTTTACAACTTTGTCCGTATAATTATTTAACAGACTCCACACATATTAAGAGAATACGATTATAAGAGCCCCACAGACGTAAAAACTCAAACAATGTCTATGCTGCCATCTGTGATCACTCTGCAAAACACGGAAGACGTCATACAACAACGTAACCGTAGAACATAAGATAATCGTTTGTACCGCTTAGGTAACCGACAATAAAGTAGAGATTAGATATGAAATGTAATCAGTGTTTGCATCATGTACGTAATAAGAATAAAATAGATTGGGAATATAATATTATTATATGTGATAATTGCAGTAACAGTTATTACATGTAATGTCCTTACACATAGTAATGCACCTATCATAGATATAACGAATAATAATATTAATAATGATTACGGTAACGGTATTATTTCCGGGAATAGTTTATACATTAAAAGTGAGAGCGGTGTTCAGCCGCTACATTGCGCTGTAGTGCGCCTGTCTGCCGTAAGAGGCATTGGTGATTAGTTAGGCTCGTGTTTTTATTATTTCGACGATCTTCCATGTTCGCCAAAGTACTTGGTCGCATTTGGAAATCGATGAGGGTCAGGGAAATCTGGTGTCCTGTATCTTCGCGGATGCAAACACTCCCTTATAGCTTGTCCGAATGCACGCCTGACACCTGAATCCGACGCTACAGCTACTGCGGCGCCTTCGATCTCCTCGACGCCTGCTCTATTCACTCCTTCTCTAACGAGACGTTCTATTGATATAGAAATGGCTGAATGATTTGGGGTGGGACTGGCCAGTAATCTCGGTTTCTGTTGTTCAATCAATTTGCGTCGTTTACTTGGCATCCCGCCTAGATAAGCATCGCTGAATGTCGTTACGCCATTGCTGTCTATAGTCTGCATTTGGTGCTGACGCGTTTGCCTGATACTGTCTCTTGCGATTATAGGTACCCAGTCCTACAAGATACAAGAATTAATATAGTAAAGTAAATGTTTGTAACACGTAAAAAGCTATTCAAGAGAATTGCACCAACTGAATTTTGGGATATAATCAACTTCACTTAGTATAATGTGTAACGTAATTCTTTTTCGGGACCCGACACCGATAGCAAAACATACGAGAACGACTATCTTCGAGAACCAACCTACGTTACCTTCGGCCGTCCACCCGTCGTTCGTGCATCCGCAAGCCAGGCGGGCGTCAGTCAATTCTTTTTTCACCGGGAACTGACGAGCCGGTATAAACTGGGAGTTGGGGTGGAACAGGCCCAACTCCATCAAGAACGAGAGCTCTGACGGAACCTATCGGACGAGGCGATAGCTTAACGGATCCTGACGATCTTTGGGGTCGCGTAAAATCAGCAAACGCAACTGGATACACGAACGGGAGCGGACGGTTACGGAAATGCACGGCCGCTCAGGCTGCTAGGTTTGAGGTAGAGAGGGTCGGAGTAAGAGTCCGGCAAATAGTGCGAGAGACAGAGAGCGACGAACCGAGAACGTATCAGAACGAATCTTAATTATCTATCGAGATCCCTTCATCAATTAATAAATTGGGAGTCCTCACCGGAGCTGGTAAAGCTAATCCGTGGAGGTCGAGAACTGCATCCAAAGGACACTCTGGTGAGCACTGCACTAAGGCACAGTACTACACCTCCGTAACACTCACAGGAATTCATAGAATTGCCTGGATATCGCGAGAACAACGCGAGAACTGTCCGTGGAGACGTCTCCGTCGGGTACTCTCCTCTGCCGGGCAACTCGGTACGTCGAGACTCTCTCCCCACGGTAGATTCGAGCACCTCGACCTCAACTAAACAATAACGAAATCTTACGAGAGCCTTGGCATAACTATACGAATCAACCCGAGAGCGTAGCGTCTGAGCAGGGTGGCGACCCGAAGGGAACCAGAAATTGAGAACGTTATCTGTATCGGTAACCGGAGCCGCCTTGGGACCGTGATTCAAAAAATCACGTCACAAATGCTACTAACGAACTTTTTACATAATTTCAAATTAGCGCAATCACTACTTACAGACGGTAGGTTTTCGTGTCCTGGGAATGTTCCCGGATTAGGTTCTGTTTCCTCGGCTGAAGTATCGTTGTTACTGACCCTCTCTTCTGCTGCTTCGGTTTCCATAGGCTGTACAAATAAAAGTCGGACTTAAAAGCGAATAATTCATCAGTTAGACTGATTATCTTATGTATAGTTATAATGGAACTGACAAAAATTGATATACACAGTCTGTCCACGAGTTCAATGTTAACCATATTTTTAATTGTTACCATATTATTAATTTATTTATATTTAATTATTGAATGTTTATCAATTGTGTATCAATTATAATTTATATTTAATTATTATCATATTTTGTTGTTACCATAATGGTAATTTTTTATAGTTTGCAAACATTGCAACTTTTAGAAAATCACGCGCGATTTTCCTGAAAATCACAAGAAATTTATGCTAAAATTGAAAAATAAAATATATATTTCAATGAAAAATTATGCACACGCATACTTTGTAACAATAACTGTATGTAGAGCCAGTTTACTAGAAAGTCGATTGTTTCTATCTATAAAAAAAATAACATTGAACTCGTATAATGACTGCTGTTCAGACGTCATCGCGAATTCTTCACTTTTTAACAAAATCCCAGGGATGATCCAGATTCCCTAAGTGTGTATGTTTCTGTGAAATATACCACAAATTCATGGGTAACAATTGTTCAAAAGTGTTCATTAGAGATCATTCAAAAAATAGAATGTCAATTGGGTTGTCTATAAGGTTGTCTATATGTATATATCAGGCTCTTCGAAATTAAAAAAAGTCCTTCTATGATAAAAATTGGCTTAAATAAGAAGAAAATAATGAGGAAACTCCTGTTGTTTTATACTTTTCATCATGCCTATGTCTCTAAATATGTATATATGTATACCTAATAAAACAATAATTCGAAATACTATACCACCCGAAACGATAAGAAAGAATACTTCACATCTATTACGTAACTACCCCCCTCCCCGCCCGATCGGAGACTTCAGTTAACTACTTCGTTCTAGTTTTGTGTTATTTTGTTCTGAAAATAGAGTTTTGTGCGCTTTATACGTAAGAAATACATGAAAAGTAAATGTGACCTAAAACGTCAGGACAAAGCTTCAATAATTGAAGTGCCTACAACATATTTCTTGTGTTAGCTTCTTCGATATCTTGAGATCTCCGTCACCGACTCGTCTCCGAAAACAATAATTTTGTGAGAATCTTCAGTATCGTTAAAAATGATATCACGTAGAAACTGGATCAGATTGGCCGACGCGTTCGGAAGTTATGGCCAATTAAGTGTTTTTACTTCAAAGGGGTATAGCTCCCCCTAGAGTGAAGCTACAGGGGTTCAATGAGGGTGTTTTTTGACTGCCGAAGGATGCTTTTTCTCGTGTCATAATTAGAAATATGAATTTACTTCTTGAACTACTAGTTCTCGCACTTTTAAAAAAGTCCCAAAATGCACTATTTCACTCCAACCCCTGCCGTTCGACCATTTTATATCCGATCGGGATGAAACCTTTACCATTTGAACAGGAAGGATATTTAATAAAAAATATGTCTTTGGTTTTTCGAAATCGGTCATAGTCTCACAGAAATACACAAAATTTCAAGTGTTCCACTTCAATTGTTCCACATCCACTTTTCTCCTTTCTTCGCCAGCTTAAATTCGCCATTTTATTTTTGATATCAGTTTTCGAAAATCTGCTATTAAAATCGGATTCAGCAGCATCAAAAATCCCATCATACAAACTCTTACTAATTTTCGAGAAATTTTTTGATTTCATTTTAGGACTCGCAGAGGAAAATGGTCTGGCAGTGAAGAAGGTAAATATAATCCATATAGCACAGAAGTTCTACAAACATTCATAAGAAGTGTAACAGATGTCCCATAAACGTTCCATAGATGTCTTACAAACGTTTTTGAAATTTAGAGAAACCTAAAGTTAGAAAATCATAGTCAGAATTACAAAAGTATAAGAAATGATCATTCAAAAATCTTTGAAATGATAATCTGAATGTTCATAAATCGAGATCCATGATCAAAAATACTTAGGCGCCCACAGCGAAGATATATGGAAGCATTTGGATATATAGAACGACAAATGTTAAGTATCCAGACATCGATACCGTTGATTAGTAGTATCTGACTACCAAAGATAATAGATACAGATACTTGGGCATGGGAAGTATAAATTGAAATATTTTTATATTTTCGAAATGTCTCTGCCGTTACGACATGACTCAAGAAGCCACTGAAAGTTAATATTGCTTGTAAACGATACGAATTACAGCCCCAAACATTTCATAGCTACAAAATTTGGACTGCTGTGAAAATCTGTCCGATGGCATCTGAGTTTAAAACATATGATGCGCTGTATTAAATACAACATTTTTTTCACTTATCCGGAACACGTAAAGCGTAAATAATATAATCTACAACAAAAAATGAACAAATTACGAGAATCATAAATATGGTTAACAAGAATTTGACAGTTGTAAGTTTAAAGAGAAGAATTGTTCTTAAGAAATAATTTGCTGCAATTTGTCCGGAAACACAAGGTAACAGTTGCATATCGTCAAAGTTACAATTTCCTACTCAAGGATATAATGGTTATGTATATCAGGTGCTTTACAACTTTATTACATCCCCTTGGGTAAGAAATATTAACCAATCCTGAGATGTGATTGTTAGTTTATGTTTGCCGAGTATGCGAGGAGACCAAACAGATTCGAAGTTTTGTCGGGTAGAAATCCATTGTATATTATATGCAATTTTATATAAAGTAGTGCCTTCATATACGCGGATAATACATTAGAAGACCTACTGCAGTTACATGAAACCGCGAATAATACCGGACGCTATATACATATAACGTGATTTCGTGTAACATGCATAAGTACGGTAAAGTTTAATCAACAAATTATGCACAGTTAAGACATTACCAATATAATGTAATAATAAAGTTTACTGTACACTATATTGTACATTTGTAGTGTACTTTGTCTCCCCCCCCCATCCCCCCTCTCTCTTTCGCTCGTATGTATGAAAATGAAAGATTCTGATGTTTCAGTATAATCCACAAGAGACGATAGAGCAATGAAAAAATACGGTACCTGTACTGTACAGTATTATGTACAGTTTCAGGGAATGATAGAACAATAAAAGTGATCCTGAAACTACGGAAACTACAGATAGAATTAGCGGATACGGAGGCACGACTATGTAGAGGATTATTCAGGTCAAACGTCTAAAGTCATTCTGTCCATTTGGTGTCTTTGGTGGTCGGTTTCTACTAAATTACTTTGTACATATATATCATATATTTTAATATTTTTAACTTCTGAGCCAAGTTAAATTTTCTATAAAAGAAATATATATAACTAACCTCTGGTTTGGGTTGAGGCTGTGACTGTTGCTGAACTGCAGTTGATCCAGAAGATGGCGGATTGGGAACATCAGTATAGACAAGTAGACTTAATATTTCGCTTTCGGGCGGTTGTGGTACTCGTAATGAAAAGGTACGGAAGCGAGTGATGAAACCATTGAGAATCAATTGACGAAGAGTTGATGGATTTCCTTCCATAATATCCGTCTGTCGATAGAATTAGTTAATCAATTAACTTCAATGAATTTAATACTCGATGATTCTATAGACATAACAAGAATTGTCTCTTACCACAAGACGCATGACTATCGCTTCCAAGCCTGCCTGTCCACCCCTTAGACAATATCGCAGTACAGTACACAATTGTGTTCCTAAGTTATTTATAATATTCAATATACTCTGGCTAAACTCAGCATCATCAATACCTAAAGTGAAATTCATTAGTACAGTTATATAATAAAGTTATAATGCTAATAAAGTTTTATTACTGTCGTCAAATAGGAGTGTCAATTCATTCTGAATATGACGCCGCATCAGAGCCTCAACCGTAGCGACAACATCTATTCTGGATACGCTTCGATTATTAGTGTCATCTTCAGCTACCAGATGATTTCTAAGATGCGGCCTCAGTTCAGACAAAAGACGTTCTGTTGCCTGTTCCTGTATTTCAGCTGGAGACGTGGCGGAGGGGAAGGAATGTTGGAAAAATTCACGCAGAGGACGTCTCAGTTCAATTATGGGACTCCAGTCTCCCATGCCAAAGCTCGTTAACATCTCCAGTGTCATATTTTGCGACTAGAGGATGAATAAATTGCAACATTAAAATTTAATAATTATATAAAGCAGGTGAAGGTACTTACAAGTAATAAAGTTAAATCAACCAGAAAACTGTCCTGTTCCCTAGGTACTTGACCAACACCAATGTCCAGTCTAACACTTGAACTACCATCGAATAAATTGGCTAGATTAACTTCAGGTGCATGATTCCCTCTACATTTTAATAAAAATTATATCAATTAGCAATGTCATTAAATGATATGTTAATTAAAGAAATATAAAGCATTTCCATACCCGTCATCTATAAGGCCAACGTGAACACCACCGCCAGCAAACATTTGGATTAGATTACCAAGGCTTTGTCCGAGAGTCGCACCTGTGAAGAAGTAAATAAACGTTCTCTAAATTAGGTTCAGCAACGCGCTTATCACAGAGGTAATTTTAAAAATATCAAAAAATTAACATTGCTTTTATGGTTATATACTATTTACCATTTATTACTGATTCAAATATTAATTTAGAATTGAGGGAACTGTATCCAAAAGCACACATTTCCGTATAATTTCTTTCAATAAATGAAATAAAAACTATCTACATTTTTCGCAATAAAACATGAATTTTATTGATCAAGTCACTATCTATCAATATACAGGGTGTTTCTTAAGCCCCGGACAGGAGACATACCGTTAGATCCGGCGTGAAAAAATAAAAAATTTTAATTAGTTTATTAATTATCAAAGATTAAAGTAGGCCAATCATTAGCGCGTGAAAACTGGTAACTCCTTCTCAGTCTCTGTCCATTGGGGACAGGCAATCATTTATTTCCCCACAAAAACAGTGACCGGTGGATACGTAAACGAATATTGTAACGTAAATAAACAGAAGAATAATACAAACTGTTTTTAGTGGGGAAATAAATGATTGGCTGCCCGCAATGGGAGGAGACTGAGGAGGAGTTGCCAGTTCTCATGCGCTTATGATTGGCTTACTTTAATCCGTAATAATTAATAAACTAATTAAAAATTTTGAATTTTGTTGACGCCAATATTTTTATTTTTTTCACGCCGGATCTAACGGTATGTTTCCTGTCCGGGGCTTAAGAAACACCCTGTATATTCACATAATAAGAACAAAAATAAATTTGGAAATGTGCAGTTTTTATCAGTCATGAAGCATTTGATTGATTTTAATTGGATTACGCATGAAAGTATTTGTATTTGATAAAATCAAATGAAAAAACGACTTTGATTCATCATTCGTAGGGAATATGAATTTTTGCCGAACATTTAAGGAGGTTGGAGCGCTTCACGCCGGTCAAATCAGTGCTAAATTTTAGTAATCGTTTTTGTCAATTTGATGCATTATGTAACATTGGTTGAGTGTCATTTGCATCACTACATGTGTCCTTTATAAAGAATAATCCGTAATTTTTTACCGTTTTAAATGCGGGACAGCTTATTGTTTCTCGAACGATGCTCTACAAATTCACCCTGTAATTATTGGATAACCCTTTAAAAATTACAGCCTGCTGTTAACCCAGCGAAAAAAATTCTTCATAAACAAATAGCTATAATTATTAAACGGTTAATATTATCAAATCTAGGCAGTGAATTCGTAAACGATTAATTAAGAAATAGAATGAACCATTCCTGATTAAAGCCGGCAAAAATGTATGGATTATTCTTAAAAAAAATTAAAAAAAAAAAGTGATGCAAATGACACTCAATCAATGTTACATAATCCAAATTTAGCACTGATTTAATTGGCGTGAAGCGCTCCAATCTCCTTAAAGCTGAATGCACTTTTTATTGCTTCATTTATTTCATTTGACCTATAATAAATATTTTAACACTTTTTTTTTATAAACGTGCCTTTGTTATAAAACTACCTGTTCATGGACTTTTTTTCACGGAATAGAAATAAATTTTAGCTACATTTTTTTTTAGTATCCCCATAATAAGAAAATTTCTATTATAAAATTCATGGAAATATTTGGTTTTGTGATTTTCACAAGTGTTTCAAGAAGAAAATATGCATTTTGTAAGTGTCTACTTAATATTGGAAGTAGTTCAGTATACTGAATCAAAATAGAAAATAACACAGAAATTCAAAAGCCGAAACGCGTGATTTTGAATGCCACGTCAATTAGTAATAATTACAATATAAGAACATTCATAGTACTCTTGTCTGCAAATTGATCTACGTGCGAGCGACGTCGCATTGAGCCTTTCGTATTCATCAATTTTATGATTTTAGAATAATCGAAATTACAGTCGGTCCATAAATTCGATCTGATTTCTGACTGATCGACAAAAATGCAGTCTTTAGCAAGACACTTGTGACTTTTTGGAGACAAATTATGTATGTATATGGTTTGGAACTGAAATATAGTTAATTTTTCTACACAAGTATATATTTTCGTGATTTTATGGAAAGCTGAAAGAGATTTGCTAAGGATTTTTTGCATTGTTCGCAAACTGTCAAAAAAATTCGTTGAACTTCTGTATCGACTATATGTTACCTGGGGAACCAGTATTCGGAGCAGCTTGAGCAGCCTGAGCACCAGAATCGCTTAGTAGTTGACGTAAATGATTCATAAACTGATTAGGAATAGTAGTCTGAGGATTGGATGCCGAAGTAGGACCAGCCTGATTAGTGCCAGCGGTTGAGGATGGCGCAGCTAAAAAAAAAAAAAAAACATAAACTTTAAGAATTCGAAACTTCAATACAAATGTACACTAAAGGATAATTACTGGACTGTGTCTGATTTTCTCTATTCTGAGCCGATTCTTGATTGGTTTGAGCATGTTGTGCATTTCCTGCGGGATTTCTGCGCACATGATGAGAATAGCACGGCAAAAACGGATCAAATTCTCGCTCATGTCCAATACCAGTTCCAAATCCTAAGGGATGAACGTGAGGATAGAAGACATGAGGCCTTGACGTACTGCGAGTCTGAGTAGCGGTTGTTGGATGAGTACCCACATTTCCTCTATGTATGTCAAATATTTGTATACATAAATACTTTAATTCATCAAATAATCAAATGAGAAAACCCACATGTAAATTAATTACACTTAAATATTACCTGGCTTGAGTATTTTGACTCGAATTCGTATTGCCATTATCTCCAGTTAACGTGGATGGTTGTTGCGTTGTTGCCGTAGTAGTATTCAATGTTGTTGTCGCTGTAGGTGTCATTCCACTTTGCACCATATGCCCAGCAACAACCTGCATCAGGTTGCGAATAAAGTCAGGAGGTGGTGCTGCACCCCAAGGAAATATTCCATTGGCACCGCCGTTGTTGATACCCCCTGCTTTCAATGATAACAATTATTTAAAAATGTTGTATTAAATTAGTTATATCTTCTGCAATAAATTACCAGCATTGTTATTATTGTTCGTATTATTTTGATTTTGTTCGGTGAGCCCAGTATCCATGCCACCCTCTGGACTTACTTCCATAAGCACCTCAACGTTATTTGGCAAATTGAACGCTGATCCTAATAATTAAAGTATTATTAAGTAAGTACATAATCTGCATTATAATCCTCACATAATTACCAAATGGATTTAATGTTTGATATCGTTGTTCATTTTGGTCGCTTTGGTCCTGTTGCGGTGGACCAGAACTAGTATTATTGGTATTGGCAGATTCCTGGGAATCTGCTGATTCCTGTGTGGACTCATTGGCCCCAGAGTCATTAGCTTCGCCATTTGGATTATTATTATTTGCGTTCCGCCCATGTAAACTGATATGAGCCTATCAAACCGAAGATTATTATCTTATATAACAATATTTTTGAAAACTACGATTAACTACAGATTCATTAATGAACCCTCACCTCAACTTGAATGGGTATACCAGCTTGCACGAAAGTAGAATGTTGAATAATTATAGGTCGACAGCGCAAATTTCGTGGTGGCTGTTGTCCCATGTTGACGATTATTTCGCTCAGGGCATGACAAGCGTGAGACAAAAAATGCAACGATTCACTAACGCCATCTATGATCCTTTGATTCTCCTCAACACCTTCTGGTCCAGGCTATGAGCAATATTCAATTTGTTTTATTGAAACTTATTCCTATTCGTGTTATCGTAAAGATGGCTACTTACACCTGGTGATAATGAAGGATCAGCCAGCATCAAGACACGGTACCGTTCAATGTACGGTCTTAGACGTTCTTGAACTGTTAAGAGGCTCTCCAATAATTGCGCCATTTGCGGAGGACGTGGTACTCTATGAAAACAAGAAAAAGTTTATATATATAATCAAGCGGCTAATTATGAAAGATCTAAAAATACTTATTTCAATTTGAGTACACATACTGTGTTTCACCGCGAACATCGTTTTGATCATCAACATTTGTTGTTGAATTTTGCTGTTGTTGTGCATTGCTCTGACCAATAGGCGTCGTGCTTGCACTAGTGCTATCTGCTGTCCCATTGTTTTCATCACTCGGACCACTCATCAAAGTGACATTGTTCAGCCCAGCTGCAGAGAGAGTAGCAGCAAGTGCTGCCTGTGCTGTCTGAGAGAGTCTAGTTCCTCCAACAAGGACATTGCTTCCCTGATTTCTGCAATTACATTCAAGATAATTACTGTTATAACAGGTAAATATGAGTTCACTCACTCTTCTGCTTCTTCGTCTTGTTCCGGGAGGACCTGTTCTTCTTGCTGACTACTTTCAGTATCCTGATTTGGGGGAGCACTGTTAGGATCATCAAGTCGATCGATCAACTGTCTTGCTTGCGTGAGCATTCGCTTTGCTACGACTAGACGAGTGCTGGACAGAGTGCTACTTAGTTGAGACACTGGCACTCCTAAAAGAACAAGAAATATCGGATATAACATTGCAGGATACACAAATTTTAAATGATCAACGAGATTGATATTTAAAGTTTCTCTGATTACCTTCTACAGAGTCTGGAGCGAAAGACATAGCGCCAAGGTACATAGTGTTTCCATGAACCTGCGTTCGAGTGTGGCGATACTGTGATCTCGAATGCCACCCAGCATCTTGTCCTCCATTATTACCGCTACGTTGTCCTGCTTGCGGAGGAGCCCTTTGCACCAAGTGGATAACCTTACCATTGACATCTAAGGAAAGAGCATTGTAACTGGTAAATAGGAACCTGAAGATTGAAAAAATTTGACTTAAAATGGTACCATAGTCGTTTAGCTTCTTATCATCTTGAAGCACTCGGCCACAGTAGATTAGCCTTTGGGAATCTGCAGGTACTGAAACTGATTCTGCAATATGTTCTTTAAAACCTCGTACAGTAATCTAAAGTAAAACAAAGAAATGAGAAATTATCTAAAATGTGTAAGTAGATCATGTTACTCACACAATAGTCAATTATGTAATAAAAATCTATTTTATGGATAAATATTTTTTTTGTTATATAAATTTCATTTACGTAAATTATATCTGTACTGCATAGTCTCTATTGATCAATAATCAATACAAATGCATACTATTTTATTAATAATGTCTTCATAAGTTACTTATGTAATTTGAAAATGATTCCCAATTAACAAAAATTATTTCAGGTTTGTTTTTCATGTAATTGAATCAATTGCAAAAATGTAAATTAGTTATATAAGAACTAATGTACAAAAGGACATTTATATTTCTAAACATTATTGAATTGATTTGTATTATTTAAAATGAAAATTGAAAGCTTTACAATATCACAATATTCATTATTTATGCACGTGCATTAGTATAATTTATCTTACATAATCTATTTATCTATAGTATTATAAGATATTAAAAAGAATAAAAATATTATACAAGTGCAATGATATATTTCTTTGAATAACATAAGATGAATTTTGATATTTCTAAGTTAAGGTCATTCGACTACTCGATATATCTTTAAAGATTCAAATTTGTTGTACCTGTTATACGGTAGCTTAATTTTAAGCTGTATAGTATTAGAATGAGATTAATAAATATTGTATACATAATACATAAGTAAGAACAACTCTAAAGCTTGATATTCTTATTTCTGTGTAGTAAATTTACTTGATTTATGGCTTCAAACTTAAACTTATTTTCATATTTTTCATAATTGTTTTTGAACATAAAATTTTGGAACATTTTTTTTTATTGATCAATTAACCTATAAATAAATCTAGTACTACTATTACTAGTACTACTATTTGATTACAATGATGGATCAATATTAAATGCATCAATAGAAGATTCAAATCAACAGAACCTGTATGAAATCGTTATACAATGGCAATTTACAAAAGCATAGCAAAAGAATAAATTTTGCAATTCATACCACGAAATCACATGTCATATTTAAATTTCTCTGAAGAATACTATAAACATTTATGTTACAGCATATTAATAATTATTAATTTTTAGTACAAATATATTTCATTTCATTCTCAGAAATTAAAAATAAACTAAGGAACACGGCAGAATAAATAATAGCTTACGTCGTCATTCAATGTAAAGCTGTGGTTCTGTGAATCCAAAGTTTTCACTGTAACGTCAATCATTGCTGTTTCTTCTAACACCCCTATTGAATAATTATTGAAAGTATAATAAATCATGATAAACATTTTCTACGCAGATAAAACTAACGTGAACAAAGTTATATTTCACAAGTAGGAAAAATTGTCTGAACTGAAAGATGTTCGAAATACTCACCTGAGCAGTTTTGAAGCACAAGTAACCTTATATGACCAGACCGAAAGATTCAAAGTACAATAAAATGAGCTAATCTTGTACTTGAATTAACCGAAGTATGTTTATTCGATATTCGTCATCGTAAAAAACTTACGAAAAACTTCAATTTTTCTTAGCAGCAAGCAACACGACGCACGATAAATTTACCCACAATTCACTTACCCAAGACAGAGATGAGTAGGGAGATTGCCAATGAGCCTGTTTTTGGTGGTCTCAATTTTTCTCTGGTTTCGGCGCGCCACCTTAGCGGAGGGTCCTCGAAGCAGTTCCACGTTTTTGATTGGTCGTATATATATAGTAATACTACGCGTGATAATCTGGAGCTGTGTTTTGACGCGTCGACGCGCCACCTGAACGAGACTCTCGAACTAGTTCCACGTTTTTGATTGGTCCAATGAATTCGTGTGTTCCTCGAGATCCACGATTTTAAACCGGGTGAACACTCAAATTGGGAGACTTGAATCCACCCTTTCTTACTCCATGTTACATAAACCGTAGTAATGAGGTAGTAAATTTTGCCGATGTTATTTCCCTTAATATCCATATGAAGTTTTGTAAATAATAGAGTGAGCAAACAAAACTTTAATCAAACCCTCGAACGTGGGTAACTACAGAAATATAAGTTTGCTAAATGATATACCACAATGACTCGATGGCACACGTGTTTGGTGCTGGATTAACGTCCAAGAATATCGAATTCGGAACTCACGTCTCAACCCTTTTATATTTTTCTTAATTATCAACTATGCTTATTGGTTCACCTAGTTAACTTAAGATCCATTAAATATATGATTATATTAGTCTACAAATATTGTATTACATTACATCGTATACATGCAATAAATTGGTACATCAAACAGCGAACGTTTCTTCTTCCCGAGAGCCTACCTGTGACAAACACCTATGTTACGCTGTTTCATGTTTTAATAGCATAAATAATATTTAGACGGATAAAGAAGGCATTACGGAAAAATACCAAAAACAAAATTGCAGTTATAAATCTCGGGCATAAAATGATGAGCATATAAAAATGAACCAATTATTTTCTATGGTGAAATGAAACAAATAATGTATCTGGTTAGGGATTTTTTGTCATTTAATTTTTATCATTCATGGCTACGGAAAGACAACATTTTTAATACATCGAATTATCAGACAATT